AAAAATATAAACTTAAATGCAGTGACCTTCTTGGAAATAATCGATGTTATGGAAACCTATTATCGTTGTTTTCGAAGTAAGAATTTCTTTTGTTCTTATTTTCATATTTTCTTTTTAACAGGAATCTTTCCTGAAGAACATGGAGAGGGTAAGGTACCCTCCAGCTACGGCGCACCGCCAAAATCACACTACCACACAGGACGCAGCACTCGCCCCAACTCCTGGCGCCGGCGATAATAACTGTGATCTTGTGCCTTGGGACATGCCAGACGACGAAGCGGCAGGCTTCAACGAATTGTTTCAGTGGGATGTGCCCAATGACGAGGGGGAAGACAGCGGCATAGTGGCCATGGAGATGCCCGAAAATGGGAAAGGTGGCATGATGGCATTGGACATGCCCAGTGATGAGATTGAGGCCGAGGAAGACATGCCCGAGTGGGATGTTCCAGTGGGGGATTTCGACTTTGATTTCACCTTTGAAGAGGATTGAACACTTTTCAATAGTCGTTGTATCAACAGACAATCCTGAAATCCCCACAATATCGGACTAATCCTAAATCCCCCACAAACTTTATATTATCATTATGACCACTTCAATATTTATCAACTGCACTATCTCTAGAATTTTTAAGAACTGGATTTAATATTTGAAAATATTTCACTCTTCAAATCTTCCATGTGAACTCGAGAACTTTTCTCACTTTTAAAATTTAAAATAGATAAAATACTTTTTTTATGTTTTATTTTCTTAGTGTTTTTATTCAACGGGCTTCATCTATGAAAACGTCCTCAAAATATGTTTGTGTTTTTTAAAAACAGGCGTTTTTACGTGTCTTATGGTTATTCCAAAGTTTATTTGTGTATATCTCAAAAGCGCGGAAAATTTACATACCAGTACATACATTTGGCTTCCTATCGGTGATTTCTCCATGTACGTGATTTGGTGTATCCTAGAGGTTTAGAGTTCTGCCACATGTGGGAGATCTCAGGATCTATATTAGAAGCTTTAAAATTTCAAATTATACTTTAAGTAAATATTATTTTCCTTACTGGAATCTCTCTCTCTCTCTCTCTCTCTCTCTCTCTCTCTCTCTCTCTCTCTCTCTCTCTCGGATGATGATGATGTGGCTGCCATGCATTTTATTGCCGGATATTTGCACACGAGTTGCTTTTATTATCAAACCCAGTTGTTTATTTTTGCAATAGCACATCACACCTGTCTTACAGTGCGAATTCCATGTACAACACATGTTCTTGTTCGTCTATATATTTACTGTGAGTATGGAACGTTCGCCCTGAATATGAGAGTCGCTTTTATTGCCAGAGTTGAAGGGAAACCATTCATTGTACATGTATATCCACATAGTTTTGTTGTACAGGGTGGAAACATTTGCTTAATGATTATTTAATTTCTGCGAGTTTACCGTGAAATATTATTATATAAGGACCATCGGAGCGCAATGAGAATAGCCTTAAGTCACAGAAACGTATATAATAAACAAGCCCGGAAAGATATAACACCAGCCACTAATACAGCAGATCGACAGGAATTAGTGTATTTGTATATGGAGATATCAAATAAAATATACAAGTCCTAATATGCTGGTATCATAAATGACCTGGTATATTATTTCAGGGAAAATAGCAGCTGCTATAACCGAGTAGTAACACACATGAAGATAAACTGGAATGCGTTGAAGAGATTAATGGCGACTTAAATGTTTAAGTATTTATTACTCTTTCGTTGATGTACAATGTGCGTATCTAGCATAGTGCCAAAATGAAGAAACAAATGTATAGGAACTATATAAGTTTTTTTAATGTGCTAAAGGCCCCACCTATTTTCGGACGTTCCATGGATGATAATGCATCTTTCGGTTCTTTTTTTATGTGATCATATATTTTCCAACCCCGTTGAAATGAAATGTTGACTCGTATTCTATGTATTCTATGAACCGTCAAACCATTTGTTTGCACACGTGTATATATATATATATATGTGTGTGTGTGTGTGTATGTGTGTGTGTGTGTGTTAATGTGTGGCCTACTCTTCTGTGTAGAAGACCATGGAAGGCGAGCAGTGACACACTGCAGCAGTATACTATGAAAAGAGACTCGATTTATGACACGCTAAAGAATCGTTTAGAAACTTAACATCAGCTCAATTTCCGCGAAAACTCATTTCTTCCATTTTCCCCCTGTTTAGAAATAATAATATAGCGCGCAATGAGATAGCACGCATAGCGCCATTTCGCTATTACGTGGTCTGATTACAAACAGTAGATTAAATGATTTCGTCAATTACTCCAAGCGTTTTAGCAATCTATTTCATTTCTCGTGTATACATGAATGAAGAATTAGACCGATAGATATAAGCCTATAGGCACCAATAATGACGATGTTAAAGGTTCATTTTATTTCAAGCACCAATATGAAGACAGCGGCTAAGTTTACGAGTACTGCTTTTGGCAGAGCGTTTGCAGTTTCCATTTATATAACTCAAAGAGATGTGAAACATTTATCTCAATTGTGTTCACCTTTAAACTTCCCCTCTAACTCCTGGGCTGATATCAACAGCTATCTATTCTGATAAGCTTCCTATGCTTGAACCCTTTACTCAATAAATAATGCTTTTTTTATTCGTTAACCAGCGTAGAAAGTATAAACAAAGGTACTGAAGCAAATGGTTATTGCGTTGTTTATAAAATACGTATTTTAAACATTCATTTATGTAACAAGATTGCATTGATTCCGTATCATATTTCTCTTGGCGTCTCTTCCCAATAGGGCAAGTATTCTATACATAGCAGTGTTAGTGTGTTCGATTTTTTATCCGAGTGTCACGACTGCCGCGAACATTTTAATCTCGCACCTGTGGAGAGTCAAGGTGTAAGATGTGAGACATGCAAACCTCTCATCTGACACCTCCCCGGGGATTGTGATATTGATTTAATAAAAAAAGACGCTTGTATAACTGAGTTTTCGATGTGAAGTACAGAGCTTGGTAATAGTGAGATGAACATAGCCTTTGGTAATTGACCTACTGACACCTGCGAACTTTCGCGCATTATATCATTACATTTGTTGTATATCAAGGAATCAAGTCCAAGGAATCATTATTAATGGGAAACAAAGCTTTGTCTCCTTTACAGGGTGAGGATCTGCAATAACCGATATGATTACGACGTGTATCTTTTTACTTTGACAATTTTCCGTACGCCATACATTTGAAAGGTTGAAATAAAGACTTAATTGGGTGAGAAGAACCTTTGTACATGTACCTTTGGTTGAGAGCAGCTGAGGATTGGGCATGGTACCTTAACGTAGTAGTTGAGGGTGGGAAGGGCAGTGCCTAATGATTGGGCATGGTATCTTAGGGTAGTAGCTGAGGGTGGGAAGGGCAGTGCCTAATGATTGGGCATGGTACCTTAGGGTGGTAGCTGAGGATGGGAAGGACAGTGCGTGAGGATTGGGCATGGTACCTTAGGGTGGTAGCTGAGGGTGGGAAGGGCAGTGCCTGAGGATTGGGCATGGTACCTTAGGTAGGTGGTAAGCCTGGCATGACGTTGAAGTTGGACATACCTGTACAAGGGTATTTTTCCAAAGATTTATTGGCTATTAGATATTGGATGCGGTCATGGTTCTCCTGGCGCAGTTTAAGCAAAAGCTCAATGTAAACATGATTCTGATTATCCCACACAAGAGTAAATGTGCTGGTATTTCCATTTGCGTACCGGATTAAGTCTATATAGGTGCCCGAAACCAATAATTATATATACATTTATAATTACTGTGTTACACATTTCAGGAACCCTCGGCGTGGTATCGAGGTAAATTCAATGAAATCTGGCTTTGGTTTCTTTGTACAAATAATGTTAATGCTACTCGGCTGGGGGTCCTGCAGTTTAAGCTGAATACTGGAGGGTGGTTATATCGCTGAAATAGTGGGTGCTTAAGGCATAAATTTCATGTATTATTGGCGCCCGCACGATTGAGCTGTTTTTGTTGTTTTTCCCAGGGACACTTGAAATCATAAACCGTCCTGTGAATTGCCCATGGCGCATAGAAGAGTTGTGCACCCCACTCCACAGATATGTTCGTTGCTTTTTAGTATGGCGACATAAACCAAGCTGTAAATTGTCTTTGGCGACTACATACAGAGCGCAAGTACATGTACATAAGCCGTGCATTTCCCTGGGATATTGCCAGATGTTTTCATTATGTTGGAAGCGACTCATATCTCAATATAGACGTAACAGTTGACAGAAGGAAGAAACAACTGACAAAATCCGAGTGTAAACTTTACACTGAACTGTATCCACAAGCGTTAATAACACAGGTGAGCTGTGTATGCTTAGCATTAGTTGCTATGACATGTGGGAGAAGTATTTATGGTGAACAGGATGCACAGCGAACGTTGTATAAAACAGAACTGGCATCTGTGAACTAATGAGGGTATTGCTGTATATACAGGTATATATAATTGCCTTCATGTGTGCTGCTGCATTGTGACAGCTGAATAAGAACCTGTTCTGTTAACATACTACAAACGAGAGCTTCTTTTATCTTTTATCATATCTTCACGGTTTCTACAATATAGAGTGATTATGGTATGATTCACGTCCATTCAGTAGCGCGGGGACCGATTCATCAACACTGCGTATAGAAAATTGTTGTGAAAGTCCTATCACACATGCGCACGCTCCACGGGGAGATAGTCGAGATACCTCGGAAATCCCCGCGCGGCTGAAATACAATGCACAATTGATCCATCATCGCAAGAAGTGTGGACGTATAAACCGGAGAATGATACGTCTGATGTTGCGTGACTTGTTACAAGTACGCTAATTTGAGGAGTACTGCTGATTGTAACTTTGAATTTCCACACGCAGCAGTGAGAGATTTTCACCATAGGATGCGTGAAGGACTAGGTCGCCGTCACGAGCAAAGAACACAGACTTGCTCTCCCTGTTAAAACTACATTGATATATGATACGTGCACTGCTGGAGCTTATTAATTTTGCATGTGCGTCTCATATACTTGCAGACATATCAGTAAGTTTTACAGAGTACGGAACAGTCCCTCATATACATGTGCAATAACAGATTGATGCCTCAATGGAAGCGAGGAGCAGCTACATGTAAAATTCGGATCATCGCCACACAGGGATTTGGTCTCATTGAGGAAAAAATGCATCATGCATGATCATGAAACTAGGGACGATTAGTTTGTGTGTAGCATTTTGATTGATGAGTTATGGATAAACATGATGGATTTGAGAAAGGATGTGAATGTCGAAAAACATGACAATGACAACCATTGTCAAGTCTCGTTAGTTCGGTTAATCACGCCGCACATGCACAGATGACGCAGACACGTGCACTGTGCGCGCACCAATTAACCGTGCCTGCATAAGGATCGAAATACATGTTAAATATTATAGGATAACCAGCGTTGAACTTATCTGAGGGTAGAGATGAATAATTACACTATACGATGTTTTTTTCGGATTTGAAATGTTAACCGGAAATTCGATTTTAAGCTAGGGGAAGACTGACGGGTATTCTGTGATCCATCAAAAATAGTACTCCTTGCATTTGGTACCACTTTGCAACCTTGCCGAATATCGCACACTGGTTCCGCTGCAACTTCGGATTGTTTGTTTGCCGGTTGAAGTATTTACTTCAACGATATACAAATACAAAATCAAATTTAATGACAGTCATACACGTATACCGGCCAGTATGTATAAAGTATGGAATGACAGATCACCGAGTATATTGAAACGGAAAACAAATCACGCACATCATGTCATCATCCATACATGCTTAATGGATTTGATATTACGTAAAGTTAATCGGCGAAACGAGAAGTTTCTGAACTGAGGATAATTAAGGAGAAAGCAACCCATACTGTACTGCATAGTGCTGATTCTCCGTCTATGTGTAAGAAGATTGCGATGTGCATTTTACCTATAGAAAAGGAAATTACAACACCATAACAATGATAGGTCTATTACACTAGGAAAGGAGAAGCAGAAAAGAAGTATTATACATAATACGAATATTCATGATTGTCAGTTGGTTCGATATTGAATTTAGGAAGTTTTATTGATAATAGATCATTACATAGCATTCAAAGGAGACAATTCTGGCACTGAAGAAACCAAGACACGTGTATAATTTGGTCATTTGGGGTTGGTTGATATAAAGGACAAACGTCACAGTGTATTAGCCAGAAATCATCTCGTTACTATCCCAGCCCCCATGATGGACCCCCACGAAGATTACACAGATTTCTCCTTCTCCTTGGATAAGCATATACACAACACAACCGACGGCGTGCTGTACCCAGAAACGATTTTGACAAGGACGCTGTGGAAAGTTGTCCCCATCGTGCTCCTGGTGTTTGGAACTTTCGGCAACCTGGCTTCTCTCATGGTCATGACGCGTAAGGTTCTCAGGGAGACCCCCGTGGGTATACTCCTGGCGACCCTGGCCGTGTCTGACCTTGTGGTCTTGTGGGTGGGACTAATGAGGCACATCCTCCGCGCGTATGGTGTGGTCGAGCTACGTTACATCAGCACCTTCGCGTGTCACATCACACGGTTCCTTACGTACTTCAGCATGGACTTCTCGGCCTGGGTTCTTGTCGCCGTCACCGTGGACAGGTTCATCGCCGTTTGCATGCCCACGCGGGCCGTGGATTTGTGCACGGTCAGAAAAGCCGCCCTGTCTCTCATGGTGATAGCTGCGCTTATCACGGCTAAAACGATGCACGTGTTCTGGACGCGAGGGTCGGAAAACGTAACGTTAGACGGCAACGTGACGGTCATCTACGTTTGCGGATACACTTCGGACGGCGACAGATACTTTTGGCAACACGTTCTGCCTTGGGTGGTGTTTTGTATATACGTTAGTGGACCTTTCCTGACAATGATAGTTCTAAATATACTCATTATAAAAGGGTTGTTCAAAATAGAACAACGTCGTTGGCGCCTAAGTAACCGCTCCACGGAGACAGGGACAGGAAACGGTTTGCTTGACCATTATCCATCCGATAGAAACGCAGATGGTCACACCGCAGGGAGACGGAGTGACCAACAGGAGGGACCTCTGCTACCGGTCAGATCGTTGACCATTATGCTACTAGCGGTGTCTATATCATTTCTACTACTCTCTTTCCCAGCATTTATTAACCGCATGGTTCAGTCATACTGGAAAAGGGACATAGCTAGCGCTCGCGAAAAGGCGCGATTGGATTTGACCGAAGTGATGGTGTTGATGTTGAATTATACCAACCACTCTATTAACTTTTTCCTATATTGTTTAACAGGCAGACGCTTTAGAAAAGAACTTAAACTGTGCTTTCGTGACGTTATGCGGTGCAATTAAGTTGAGGAATTCTTCATACTAGACTTTGAATTAGGAATGCAGAGATACTGTTACGGAAGAATACTGCATGAAGAGATCTATCTTGTTAATTCTCACAAGCCACTGATACGCAGCAGATCTTAGTTTTGGGCACTGGTTTGAGTGTCTAATTAAGTCCTTACCTAGACCTACGCATGAAGAGACTAGATCCTGTATTGATGTTGTACTGGGTATAGTAATTGTGAAATATATCTCACGTAATTGTAAATGCTACTTAGACGCTGAGTTAAGATTTTTAACGCACAAGCAGTTCGAACTAAGACCTACCTCATACTGGTGATAAGTGCACTTAAAGTAAGGTGAAATGGTTTTATACTTCATCTGACACGACTTGAAACAGGGCTGCAACTGACGCAGCTATAATTGACGCTGTGTTCAGAATTCATACATCAAGACGTAAAACAAGGTATTAAAGAGTACAGGCACTTATACTATACCACGGGTTTCACGCATGTTTCACCCCTTGCCATTTCAAACTTTTGAAGGCAGTTTGATTGGGTCCTTGTCGTTTTGGTTATATATTTCGCAAAAATGTGAAATCGGTGTTGAATAAAAGAAAGGGGTGTTTTGGTAGTTAAATGTCCCAATGTTCGTGTGATGTTGACCAATTATCAGTGTTGCATATTTTATCAACACATGATCAGTACCCATCTTCCATGCAACTTCCTATTAATTTCCCGACCAACAAATTTATGAATCTGTTTTTTTTTTTTTTTCTAGGTAAAATACCCTGCAAAACAAATCAAGTGCAAACAACATTAAATCCTCTATACTGGAAACGCTTCTGGCGAGAGATTTACCGTGCTATCCGACTAATCTTAATTCTATACACGGATATTAAAAAAAATTGATGCTTATTGCGTGTGGTGCGAAATTGATCAGTTAGCGTTTCAAGTTGCTCTAATCAATGGCTTTTTATGTGCTAAGCTCGTCAATAAAAGAGAGCTTTCACCAGATTGTGTGCATTTTTTCCGGTGTATAAAATCCTGGATTGGCAATCTGGCATCTGATACTTCCATTTTTTTATGTTAACCTCTTCTTTTGGGGGGGGGGGGGGGTGAATTANATTGTGTGCATTTTTTCCGGTGTATAAAATCCTGGATTGGCAATCTGGCATCTGATACTTCCATTTTTTTATGTTAACCTCTTCTTTTGGGGGGGGGGGGGGGTGAATTATAGAAACGCAGAAAAGTTAACGTTGTAAAGGGGAAAGCATTAATTTGTTTATATATGGAATGAATTAAAGATATGGCAATTGTCACCAACTGGATCACCACGAGAAAATACCAGCTGTGATTAAAATATATATCATATTAAACGGTAGATTTAAAACTGTACAATTGGGAAATCGAACATTATACATGTACACACAATGAACAAAAGTGTCCCCCCTACTGAACCAATACTTTGAGGGAGATAAATGACTGTGGAATGGTCCTGGTATCATTTTATTAACATCAAATTTCACAAAAAAATGTAGACCAGGCATTATAACTACTCAAGATCTGCCTACTTGGATTACTTGATTATTATCTGATACTCTGATTCAGGGGGTGACAGTTCTATTGTCTATTGTGTGTATATTTTTTTCATCCATGAGCATAATAATATATATTATATACAGCAGTATTCAGTTTGCTCGACTTTGGTGCCAAAGGTCATGGGTTCCGTCTCCGAGCGGATCATAATAAAGACCTTAATAAATTTGATCTTAGATAACGACAAAAAACACTTTGTAGTTAAATAGCCGTTTGGATAACTTGTAAGCGGTTGAACATTTTTCATGGATATCGGAAAATAGGATAATATATTTCTCATTACAAAAAGGGATATGTCAACTTGCCAAAAATGGCCAAATGAAATTATAAATGATGTCACCTCTGATATGATTTGGCTTTTCTGCTTATTAAATCGATCGTCTTTTTATTTATTTATTTTTTTTACTTTTATACAATGACACATTTCTTCTGTCATTTATGCATTTCGTGCTCTTTTTTCAAAGGGAAACTTCGCACCATTACTTTTTTATTCAGCTCTAATCTGCGAAACATTGACAGGGTGCAAAATTATGATATAACCATCTTGCAATATCAAGCTTAGGGTAGCTGTATTGATCCACAGGGCGTTTTCCTCATTTCAACCGTTTTGTAAAATTGCTACAACAGCTATCTGTGCAATGAGATTAGACAACATAAAACGCCATTGTTTATATTGTGCTTAATAGTTCAGCAGCCAGCACCACACGAGCACTCAAGACCTTCCTTTCGATACCATTGATTGATAACGCTCTAGTACGTGTTAAATAAACGTGTGGTTTAAACACGCGTTATCTTTTAATAAATTGTCAGGTGAGAGCAACTTGACAGATTAAATGTCGCGTTTGCGTATTCAAATATTGTCCATACAGAGTAAATTTGATTTGATATAACATGCGTCATTGGTTCTTATTATAGTTAAACCGGAGTATACAAAACCGTAGCTGCAAATGCACTACTTCAGTGCAGTGGGTAAAATGTCTGTTGCTGAAGGAGATAAACTATATAAAGTTGCGCAATAGCCCTCTTGGTTAGATTTAAGAATATTGACTGAATTTGTATGGAAAGCAAGTATCAGTTTCTGATTGTATCATTGCGATTTTGATTTGAAACATATGCCAAACCCTTGTGCATTATAAAGTGTCGACCTTTTTGTATCACGGCAGCAGCAACCTAATGAAGTTATCCCTTATATCGATGTGAAATATAATCTAATGTCTTGTGTGAGACCTAACTACGATATCCTATTTTATATTAACGTTGAGATAATCCAATAAAAGCTCCAAAGTCCTTTATTTGTGACAGATATTGTGAAGGTGATCGTATATTACCAGGATTTTAGCCATCACAATACTCTGGTAAATATATAGCAGCAGCAAAAATCTAGAATCCATTTTTTTTTTTTTTTTTGAGAAAAATGTACCCTGCATGCGACAGTGCTTTTTAAATTTGTTGCACTCCCGATGCTTTTAAGTTTTACAGATACAAAGTGCACTAATACATGCATCTCAACTGAATTTTTCTCTCTTGATTCAAACCAAAGAGCAAGAGCATTGGCTTTGGCTCTATTACACCATACAGAGACTTAGCGTTAGTACAAACATGACAATGACACCAAGATATGGTTTCATAATCTCTCTCAGCTGAACAAAAAATGCGAACCTAACTTAGGGAGGGGATAATGCATGGTTGCGATGCTGAAGCATTGATTTATATTTTTTCATTTGTTGTTGTTTTGATTTGTCCATTTCATGTGTGATTTTGGTATCAATGAGACTACTTGTGTAAGCGTTATATCTACCCTACCGTGGGGTGGATATCTGTTCTTGGCATTGAAATAGCTCTGCTCCTAGATCAAAACATTGCCAAAACTGTGAACACTCGTTTGAAATATCCTTATCTTAAAACAAATGGAATCGCATGTCAAATGGCGTTGATGCAGATACTAGTACATGATTACGATTGGCAATCATGCACATATTTCTAACGCTAACGGTGGGATGGGTTACCACCGTTTGCAGACAGATTATATTAGTTTTGAAATCTATATACGGCAGCTTTTGAGAACAAGCTCTTTTCTTTACAAGTGCGTGTTCTTATAGAGCATTTTGCCCAGGGTCAATCTTTTGAACTCTTTCCATATTAATGCCGTGAGAATTTCGTTTGATAAGACCACTGAACCAATATGGCATAGAACGTGATATATTGAGACCCACACCATGCGCGATATGTCGTTCGTCCCAGCGAAGAGCTTTCATTAAATCTAATGCCTTTGCACTGAGGTCAAGCGTCTCATCGCGCTTTGCAGACAGTGTTAATTAACCTAATGTCCATAAGCGACAATTCTGCCATTGCCGTTTATTCGGATAATCTAATACAAAACTCCGTACTTGGAATACTGGTCAATTGTAATTCATTTTATATGGCGCTATTAATCGCAACTTCTCTTTTGATTTATGAGTTTTCTTTCTTCTTTTTGACTCTCATTTTTCTTCAGCTATTTTCATTTTGTGAATAATGTAATTAAGCATTTAATAAATTTGAGGACTATAATTTGGATATGCAATGATACATGTATGTATGTATTGAGAGTCGTAGTACTAAAATGGACATCAACTGAGCGAAATCAATACGCAAAATCAATATAAGCCTAATCAAGATCTGAATCTACTGGCATTTCCCACTTGTATCCAAGGTTGAGAACATTTTTACCTAGGTCTTTAACCAAATAAAATCCTTTAAATATGTACCGCATTGTATCTGTGTCGCGCTTTTTAAATTTCTCAATATAAATCCTCTACTAAGCATTCTGGTCATCAGCTGACGTCTGTATTTTAAAATACATATATATTGCAGTGAAGAATTAAGTAGGACCTATCACTTAAAAAATTTGTGGATCACTGTTGTTTGTCCTGATTGTTTATTTGCCCGGCGTGAAGAAACAGGGTTCATCCTCCATTAAAGGCATACAGGTTAGAGTTAGTCTGACGTGGGTCAAAATGTAGTGACTAAGGGAACCAAACCTTGTTTCACGGGGAACTATCTCGAGCCTGGCACTGGTTGGACAGGAATAAAAAAGCGGGATCGGGGTCCAATTTTATTGTCATTAGAACTGATAAGTAAGGGTGAGGCGGATATATTGGGATAGGTTAATAGGACTGACACCACCCGTACAAAGTAAAAGGAAACGGACTACAGTTCCTAGCGGACTACTATTCCTGTCACATTGGATTCACCTCCAATCACCATTGCTGCAAGTGGCACGGCGTTGTACACAATTCAAAAAGCAACGCAATTGCGTTATCGTCGCATCTAACGCATCCGTTCAGAGACTGTTATTTGCTCGCCTCCAACATCTGCGAAATCGCTTAGCATAAGACTTGATTTAATGAATCCAATGAACATTATGCCTATTCAAAGGTGGGTAAACTATTATGTAACGGAATGAAAGTATATGGAAAGAATCCACACGATTCACTTGATGCTGTTTTCTGGTATTCGATATAATCATACTTCCCAGCGGAAGTCATTTTGTCTATCGTTAGGGGACCACTTGGTTTAAATGTTACACAACTGACGTAAATTGTATTGCCATAGAGTGCGGTCTGCAAATCAAAATATCGACCGAAAGCTTAAGTCAATAATTGTTTTATTATATAATTTGATATTTAAATGTCAATGTACTGCAACATACATGTAACCTTTAAAGATGCAACTTCGCTGTCATTGAACTTTTTTCTTGTCTGAATGAAAAGGTGTTTCCTTTTCTCTGGTCGACCAATGGATAGTCGATGATGTCAATAATATGTTTTGTGATGGTGTTTTATCAGACCTCAAATTCACGGCTATAAGACCATAATCTAAGCTTTTAATGTTAGAACGCTGTTTTCAAATTACGACTTAATAAGATTAGCTGACGGATGGAGTTATCTTGGTATTGACACTTTAATGTGCGACAGACTACACTAGAGTGAGCAAGAAGTTGACCAGTCATTTAGAACTATTGTAAGTTAATTAAGAGAAGTGGTATAGAGCATATCGCATCACAAGTG